CCATTGGGATCAAGTCGTCTCCGTCAATCGGCCGCAGGACGAGCGCACTGTTTCTATTGCCAGAAACCGGGCCACTTCAAAGCTCAATGTTATAAACGAGCTGCTGACAGAGAAAAACAAGATAAGAAAAACCTGCCTTCCAGCAATACCTGAGATGGCCTATATGTGTTTGAATATGGTGTAATGACTTTGAAATTGAAATGCGAATTATCTTGAAAATAAAATTAGGCGTAGTTTATTATTTGGTTTAATGTTGAGTCTTATATCCTTAATACGCAGTAATGCATATATATGATCGGGTTAATCGCAGTTAAGAGGCCGAGGTTTTCAACGCGTTTACATAAAAAATAGATAATATAATGGCTGAGTATTCTAAGAGTGGTAATAGCCTTGAAAAAAGGTTCCCTAAAGCAACCCTCCCGGTCATACTGGGTCAGGGCTGTTACCACTCTGCCGACTATGCGGGGTTTCGTTGATGTTGTTCCTAACACTGCGTAATGTGTCTTCGTAGGAAGAGAACTATTGGTCATGGTAACGTGATTCAACATTTGACAGGAAAGTCACCTGTGTGACAATGACGTCCAAAGACGTCAAGTGAGTGGATCTTTATGGGAACCCCGTGATAGTCGACAGGGTGGTAACAGCCAATCAAAACATGATCGAAGAGGAGAAGAGAAGAAGTGAAGAAGGAGCACTTGGGAATGTTGAAAAACCGTTTTTGGCAGGCGAAATCCATAACCATGTMGCTGAATGGGAGGAAATGTTGCAACATGACTCATCCCCAAAACTAAGAGAGATATCGGGCTGGATAAAACATAAAGTTTCCATTCTCCCGTACTTCCAGTGGTACAAGGGAAACTTTAAGGGAGAAGAGTATGATCATGCTCGGCCGCCGTCTCGAACTTTTCGCAATAATGTTTCGTGCAAACATTTTGTGGACATTATTCAGAAGATCTGGATAGATCGGTTAAGCACGAGTGCAATATCCCTGGTGGGGAGAGTAGGCTATGTACGACGCCCCCACCTCGTCCTCCCCTTGACAGTGGAACCTACAAAACCGCGGCTTTGCCACGATGCCAGGTACCTAAACTTGTGGATGCAGGATAAACCATTTACTTTGGACAAGGTCGGGGATTTGCCTCGTTCTGTCAGTAAGAATCACTATGAAACTGTCATAGATGACAAGTCTGGCTATGAACATCCTGCTTGATGAGGAGAGTCGAACCTTTTTTGGYATCCAATGGGCTGGCTGGTATTTTACATACAATACGCTACCATTTGGATGGAAGATCTCTCCGTACGTTTACCACAGTACTGGCTTAGTAGCAACGAATTTCTTTCGCTCACT